CTGTATACCATAAAGCAGCTCTCTTCCAATATATTCACCCAAATTTGAAGTCCACTACAATATGCAAGGGAGAGAAATTATGTTATAGAGAGAGGACACGAGCATCCAGGGAGGAGAGCTCTGTAGCAGGGGAATGATAGCAGGGGCAATGAGGTGATACCTCTATTATTTGGCACAATTTGTAGTTCAAATGCAATTTGTAGTTCAGATGTCCAAATGCTAAATAAACAAATAAACCAAGGCAGCTGGTTTTATAGTAACAGCCATAGAGTGGTAGTCTATTTGAGGTCTTCATTTTTAATCAGAAAATTATGATTAGAAAAATACAGAATGACATTTTAGATGGACACAGTGTAGTCTGGCAGTAATAAACCGCAAGACATTTCAAGAAAAACGCTGTTTTAGATTTAACAGTACTTAATTTCAGTAGTTTAAAGTTCACATCATCTTAAGTGGCATGAGGTCAACGAGAGGTCAAGTGCTTTGTCCCTTTTTAAAACTGATTTCTTTATTTTTATTGATTCGTGCCTATGCGCTCCACAGTAAAGGTGATATTTTAAGTTCACTTGCACAAATTCATAACAGTATAGAGGGGTACACCTGCAATAACACCAAGGGGGTCTGTGCCGGATTGTATTGAAACGCCAAACTCTGTCGCCCCCTAGTGATAACTCCAATTTACACAAAATCAGCTGTTACGTAATGCAACGTGCGTAATCCTGATTTTCTACTCCATGTCACGGGTTATGTGTATCCTGGCTGTGAATAATCCTACAACGCTCTGACAGTCTAAGACTGATTACAAGAAAACTCCAAAACCGAAAAGTCTGATAACATCTTGGAAAGAGAGAACATGTTACAGTTTTAAAATGGGTTAATTCATCAAAGTAACATTGTTTCACTTTAACAGATGACTACAACTAATTAATCAATGAATAAATATGGGTGGGCGGAGGGAGGGGGGGGGGGTCGTTCACAATCACATTGCTTTAACTCGCTATGATATTATGTCATTTGTTAGGGAGTCCTCAACTCTCCCGTCGTAAATAATTGAGAGTTTATCCCCGTCGTCCTCCTCCTCCACCTCCTCGTCACCGTCAGATCAGGCTGTCATGCAGCATCCTTGGTACGTGCTCAGCCACACTCGGCTAATGGCAACACTGTACACAAGCGAGTCGAGTTCAACCACTTCACATCGCAGGGGTAGGGGCGTCTTTTATCAAACTAGCCTAAAGTACAGATATGCCACCTCCAATGGCAGCTGTCGCATCACATGATGTCTATTTAAGGGCAAAGAAACCTGTTCGGCGTTAATGCTCGCAATAAATAATCGAGCAGGGCAGGAAACTGTCAACAACATAATGGTTCATTCCTAATGTACGACGTGCAAAACTGAACGCGCCGCACCCCAACTATAACAGGAGAACTCATCCGAACGGTGCCCTTCTAAAACCCCGCCTCTCCCAAGCTGTGATTGGTCAATTATCCGTAAAAGGTGGGCCATTCAACCCAAGCGCGGGAGCCCGTTGGCTGAGCGTGATGTCAACTTCTTCCTAATTTGAATAACCAGGTCGGGTTGCAGATGCAGAGGAGTGGGCAGGGTAGGGGTAGTGCAAGTGAATTGAACTTCTGCGTCGGTGTAGGCTACACTATATTCTTAAATGCACCCAACTTTAATCATGCTCCGAGATTTATAATAGAGGAAAAAACTAGCTGGATGTTCGGATTATGAGCAGACTGGGATCTAGGCGGAATACTTCAAGATTTTTCCTAAAAACATATTCCAAAAAGAAAACTTGGGACTGGTAAGTAGCTCTGCTTTATCTGCCACTATTCTTTATTCTCTCTATATGGTGTGGGGAACAGGCCACATATATCCTGCATGTCGTTAGATGTTCTATTTGGTTACAACAGCGTAATATTGTGTTTAGGGTCGCCAAGTGTTCACGTGTGATTATATGTTAATTAGGAACTTTTTTTTTTAATGCCAATTGAAAATGAAAGCATTATTATATATTTCCGTAATCCATAAATCGTGGGCAGGAAGCTAAGTGCAATGTCTTATTCTGGAAGAGACTCGTTTCCAGGAAACCATAGAAGATTCCATGATGATAATTTCATTATCGTGTCGTTTTATGTGTGTAATAACTTTAAATAATTCAGCTGTTTATGACACAGCGTTTGTCTGTATTACTCCACAGATTGTGCGCACTTTGAGGCCAAAACCTGCAGTCTAAAAGCAGGTAAGCCACTGACTAACGCACATTGTGCCAGTTTCCAGTTCCACTGTGCGTGTGACAGCGGCTAACCTGGTTTTGGGAACACCTCTCATATTTTTGACTCGTCTGAGACCCAGCCAGAGCCGGATCAGACAGACACCTGTTTACAAGCAGCCCTTGATCGTGGCACCGTGAGCGCCGCCTGGACATAAATGCTCTCCCAGTGGTCTCCATGTGTACCGTAACCTACTTCCTACTATGTTCATACAGTACCTTATTTAGGACCGTGTGGCGTTTGCACTCCCTCCTCTTTAATGCCATCATTTGAGACTCCTGGTGAGTGTTTCGTTTCTGTTTCATCTGTTGAGTTTGGATCATGTTCACGTTCACTGGTTACCAATTTGAGGTCAGGGGGCCTCCAGAGGGTTCTTCCAAGAGGTTCCTTTGGGCCCACAAGGAAAAGATGAACAGTGCTATAAAGAAACTCGGTTTCAGGACAGAATGGATAATATTATGCAATATTATGCATAGTAATCAGACTATAACCATATATAGAATAACTATATTCTATATAGTGACACAACCTTACCGTGTAAGAAAATACATACGGATTGCAGCAATACAGTATGTACAATGTATGCTTGTAAGTAACCAAAGTAAAGTTTCTGCTCAAATCAACTGTCTGTGTGTTGTGACCTGTAGTGCATTTCTTGGTGTGAGGATGTTTTATCCCCATCAGTGCATAATGACTCACGGTGACACAAAGGAATAGATAAGTGCAGTATGTCAGACTCATTAACTCATGGCCTCATTCATCATCATAACGTGTGGACGTGCAGATGCTCACTCCCATTCCAAGGAGGTTCTTTTCCCAGGCAACCAGTGCCCGATGCACATGGTGAGCTGATGAGTTTTCATATCTGAAAGCAATCAAATTTTAAGCTTTGCAGCACCTTTTATGCACATTTGTTTGATGAGAAAAGATTTTGTCAGCGCGTCGTCCTAAAACATAGTCGTAATCTGTTAATGTGCCCTTATGAGATTGGAGCCCTCAGGGTTTAGATATGAAATGGGTGGATGCCTCATTTTGCACGTGGGATGTCTGGGGTGTGGGAACATGCTCATTATCCTGTGATAATCTTTTTTAAAAAACAAAGAAAAAAGTGAAGGGTCCTCAAGTAACAACTGTTCTTTTTTACATAATTTGAAGAGATCAGAATATTACTGTTAATATAGTAAAAGGAAACTATAAAGGTTCCTTTAGGAAAAGGGCACATTTGTAATTCCTCCTGTGTCCACAGGTTGGCATCAGTGTCACATGAGGCTTGTGCTTGTCCAGACACCGGGACCTAAACAAGGATTTGAAGCTTATCTAACCCTTACAAAGCCAGACAGCTCTAAACCTTCTCAGGATAATCCAGTTCCACATAATTGGTCATAATATCAAAACTGGCAGTCTCATCTAATTTTCCATAATTCACAAGTCATTAAAATTGGCACAAAGCAGAAAAGGCAGATGAAAAAAAATAAATAAATCAATGTTTTTGACACAGTTTCTAATAGACACACCTAAATGGACAGACAGAAGAAAAATATTTACTCTCCCCGTAATTATACCTTCTGAGTATCAGTACATGAGAGTATTTATAGACATCCACAGGGTTTCAGGTGGGGGTTAGCCGGAGAGAGAGGAAGGCTCGCGTCACTCAGTGTGTGACAGCCAGAATATTTACCCTCCAGAGTAAACAAAACAGGAAAGGGGTGGAGCAAAAACGTGTCGTGCCTTTTTGCACAGGGTGATTCTTATTGCAAATTGCATAACAATCAAACTACAAATTGCATAATAATTTAGCACGTCTGTAATTTAACGACACAAGACACTCGATGCACCTGAGAAGCAATGGCATCTCCTCTAGTGGAAAGAAAAGCCAAATGATTAAACCGACATCATCAGTGTCAAACGAACGCCAACATTATTTACAGCTAAACAGATCATAGAGCAACGCTCCCGTTCCTGGTTTTATTTTCATATAGATGCACTGTGTGACTGCATCCATAACAGGAACAGCTGTGATGCATAGACAAGCAAGGATGCGCTTTGTGAACTTTGGAAATTATTGTGTACTCTCACATCATGTACTGTACCACCCGCTATGAGGAAAACATGCATATTTCAGTACATATAATATATTCATAATGCATTTCCCATGCTGTGTGCCACTGTCCTTTTTAGAAAGTGGATTCCTAATGGACTGCACCATTTAAAGAAATATGTCTGTAATAAAATTTGAACAGGAGTGTAGCAAAAACCAGTCAAGACAATAAAAGTTTATCTAAAACACTGTGGACATTTTATTATATTTAAATACATCGTTATTGCAATAATTTCTCTAGGTCAAAGGGTCCTAATTATTTTACATTTCATACAGATACTCTGCAGTGTTTACAGTAGGAAAACTCTGTAAATATATTTGTCTTATTTATATACATATATATATATATATATATATTGTGGTATATTGAAAAAATAAATGAGCGTTACAAAGGAAAGGGTTAAATAAGAGGTGATGGTGACAGAACAGTGAACAACTTTTCCTTGGCCCTGCGGTCCATGTTTTATCTCCATGACGAGTCTCGGGATGTCAGGACTGCAAGACACAAAAATATATGGGGATGATGATCCCTTTGTATTGAGGGAAAGAAAAAAATAACACTTTTCAGCTAAGACACAACACAAGAGATTTGGGTCAATCAAGATGTTCACATAACCTTACGAGAAACACAGATAGACCCAAACCCAGTCACTGGGTTAATTCCTGCTCCCACAGGGCTTGAGCACCATGACTGGAGTTTTGCAGTCAGATGAGTATTATTGAACACACGCAGTGTCAAGCTGTGTCTATAACAAGCACTGGGATGCAGTCTGTTTCCAAAAGAGAGAGAATTGATATAACCCCAAAAAGAAAACCGCATCACACAGCAGAAGGTAAAGAGAGTGCACACTTCAACACACGTCACTTTGACCTGTCAGCAAACACATACAAAGATAATATAATGAGATATTACGCGCTAAGACACAATAAATATTGATTTAAGGTGGTTTGCAGGATCACTTATGGATGATAGCTCCAATCGTTTGTTTGATTGATGATTGTTATTGGAACCTACGTATGTGAACTAAGCTGATCCTAAATCTACAGCACACCGAGGTACAGTACAAATTGTGACAGGTCAAATGTTAAGTGTGACGAAAGCAAAGAAACCAGGCGGATTCATTCCAGTGGAGGAAAAGAAAAGCATCTTAACAAACCCTGGTCCTGTGGCACTACTTTTGAAATGAATCTCTTCTTTTAGCATGGAGTTTGGCAAAAATGGACTTGCGAGAGATACAAGCTCACCAAATACGATTCACTGTCTCCAGAAAGAGAGCAGGAAGATACCATTTCTTTGCAGGCACACAGGGACCAAGGCTTCACATGGGAAGAGAATGGGACAGTGCAATATATTTTGCAGAGCCCTCGTAAAAGGCTCTTGCTCTTTGGTCAAGCATCACCAAAGTACAAGGCATTGTATAGATACACCGCTCTCATAAATAGTATCCATACATAAAAGGCAAACTGAAATTACATTGGTGGCATGTATTTTCATGTCAAGAGTAAAAAACAAAACAAAAACAACAAACACAATCAGAATGCCTGCCACAGTAATTCCCAGTGCGATTGCTGTGTTACATGGAAATACTTTGAAAAGCAGCTGTTGATAGTCGATTATTGACTTGAGGGTGGAAAGGCCACTCTGTTATTACAGAGGAGGGGAAAAGGGTTAGCAGCAAATCCCTAAATGCATTAAAGGATAACAAAAGCAGCTACTGTTAGTACAGAAGCATATAGTAAGATGCGGAGAACAAGGAGTAAGGGAAATTGACAGAGTAAACAGACCCACAAAAGTTAAAGCATACAGGAATATGTGACAAATTGGATGGACTTCTAAGAATACTGTAAAAAGCTGAGGACAAGAATCTGCAGAAGACTGAAAATTAGCCATAGAGGTCTTTATGTCTTTAAATGTAGAGCAGAGGAAAGCTGCTGGGAAGCAGCAGGGACAGCCACCATAGGGATGCTTCGACTACCCAACACCATAAACGACAGCTGTAGCCCGAAACCCAATCAAGCTGGGGTAGAAAATATGGCAGGGGTGAGGGGCTCTGGGACCAAGGGATGGACAGAGCAGGGCAGGAGAGGAGCAGGGCTGTGGACTTGAGAAGCAGCGGGGTCTCACACATACACACCCTCAGGGTTGAGGCTGGACACTAGAGGGTTTTGAAGGTTGCGTGGATGTCCCAGGAACTGCTTTGCAGTAGGACGAGGTGGAGATTCAAATGGAGTTACACCCTGATCTGAGTTAAAAGAAGAAATATCTTTAGATGACACAAATCAGGTATACCATAACATACCATAACATAATATTAATATTTGAGGGATTGTTTTGTTTCCTTACTTCCATCCCTGTATCCATCCTGTAGAAATTGCTCCAGTTGCTCCTGAAGCTCTGTGCGTGAGTTGGTTTGAACAGGCAGGACACCCGCCTGTTGAATAAACTGCTGCAGGTTACACTGCCTCAGCTCCTTATTCAGTTCCTCCAGCTCATCCTGTTTGTCCTGAAATGGGAAGAATGTGGATCAGTGAGAGAAATCTAAGACAAGTATTTTACCTGTAAAGGAAAGTGGGTGCAGCATATAAAACTATTACACATTTTTAAGTATGGATGCATATTTAAGGATGTTTAGTAGCGGGTATACGTCCCCGTCTGCACAATTGCAGGGACAATTTATCACTGCATTTATAAATGAACGTTTTTTGCTTTCACCACAAGGGGGCACTAGACTCTAAAAGTCTCCCTTCCAGTCACTGATTAAGATTACTGCCCATCACGTCACCACTAGACAGTTTCAGCGGCAATGAATAATCAAATCACCACAAGTGCCATGAGACTTTTTCTGATTCAGCCAGATTTAAGCAGCCCGATGCAAACTTATAAATAGATACAGGCCAAAGCTCATTTGCTTTTTCCCTTTAAATCTGTCTTCAGATGCCTTCAGATTACTGAAAAGCTGGTGTTCAAGAACATTGTGAAGCAGTGGCATCACCTTTAGGCCCGCAGACTGAACTCAGGTGCACACAAACAAGCCAATAAGTGTGTGTATCTGAGTAATTGATGTTGGACCACAACATTCTGGTGAGGCAGTTCATACCTGCAGGTCTTCCTCCATTAGTCTGATGACAGGAACACTGTGCTCATCACCACCAACACTTTAAAGACTCGGCTGGCTGCCTCAACCGATCAGCTGACATAGACCCTTTCCATTACTACGAACGGAGGTTTATTATACCCTGTCAGGTTAATATTTCATTTACAGGAAATACTGGTTTCTCATTCCCTCCATACAATTACTGTCTGGGTGGCAAAATGCCTTCGGGGCTACTTTTGGATTATAAGCACTCACAGTGCTGTTGGTTACCTGTTATGACCCGGTGTTTTTATACAGCCATGTACAATCCCCCCCTCAAAAAAACCTGACATCTCTGCAAAATGTTTCATGACAAATGCATCCACATTAGCATGAGTGACGATATATTTTGATATTTATTGTGGCCTACAGGACAAAGAATGGGACACTCTGGGCTTTCAGTGCATGAGGATTTGAAAAACTGAACTATCACTATCACAGAGGAAACACAGGTTTCACTTCAAACTGATGAAGCCACATCTAAGACAACCAAAAGCAAACTGACTTTCTAAACTACAACACGCTGAGGCTGAGAAATAGATCCAATAAAAGAGGCTTTTGTTCTACAAATCAAATATTTTTAATATTTTTTAAAATCTATAAACAATACAATATGCATATATAAGCCGACATAATATAAACACAGTCAGTAACCATGTATTTAGAAAGTGCGATACATAAAAGATGATACCTGCTAAACCAGTTAAGCTAGGTTTTAAATAGCTCATGACAATGAAGCACTTTCAGACATGGTAGAATATGAGCATTCAGCAATCATATTACTGCAGTTTCATCAATATGCACCAGGCTTCGTGACGTACTGTTTATTGGAGTGTATAACATGATGTTTTGAGTAATACAAAAAAGGGTATGGACTGCACCCCTGAAATGCCAACAGAAGGGCTTGTGTGGATTTACAGCCCTTTTTCTAAAGCACAGACCTCTCTTCTTACCTGCAACAGAGACTCTGCTTTCTCCAGAGCCTTGTCAGTCTCAGATAGCTGTTCCTCTAGCTCTGTCCCATGTCTCTCTTGACTTTGTAACTCTTCCCTTACAACGTCAAACGACTCCTCAGGTCCTGTGGCTTTCCCTTGTGTCTGGGTTTCCCGCTGGATCTCTTCCTCCAGCTGAGCAGAGCGAACTGAGAATTCATGGAGCCGCCGTCCACAGTCATCTAGCTTTGTATGGAGCTCTCCAAGCTTCCTTCGCATTCCTCGCTCGCTTTCTACCTCGGCTTTTAACTCCTCCTCCCAGTACTGCTCATGTGCAAGCTCTGCCTGGTTCCTTCGCATCGCTTGCTCCAAAGCGTCCATCTCGTCTTGCAAACGAGCATCAGAAACAGGTGAGGGACATGGAGATGGGTAGGGACGCTCCCAGGTGTGTGACTCCCTCTCTAGGGCTTCTAGCTGGGCCTCAATGGCCCTTAGTCTCTCCTGTTGCTGAAGAACTTTCCTGAATACCTCATCTTTTGAAGGGCCTATAGGTAGTGAGGGAGAAGGGGATGACATATGAGGGGACAGAGGGCTGGATGAAGGAGAGGGGGAGGCTCTTTGCTCTGGAGAGTCCTGTGGAGACCTCTTAAATTGTTTGGCCTTGGTCTTAGGAGAGCTGGAAGGCCCCAAGTTAAAGGTCAGGGCTTTTTTAGGCTGGCTACGTTTCAAAGGCTCTGGTTCAGGATGCTTAGGCAATGGAAGGGGATTAGGTCTCTCTTGTTTTGAGCCAGGTCCATCACTGCTGCTGGGGCCAGTGCGACGTAGAAAGAACTGAACTTCATTGCCATGTTGGCCTAACTTTGCGAGAGACTCCAGAGGCTTCTCTGTGGCCAGCAGCTGCCTTTCTGAGTCCCTCAGACGCTGAATAAGAACATAACGGCCTGTCTGACCTGTGACAAAGACAGAAAAAATAAAGAGTGACTATAAAAAACCTACCCTAAATATTTCCATACAAAGAAGTAGCACACCAATATTTTTATTCCTAAACAAATGATATACATCAGTCAATTTTTTTGTATTCTTAGTTGCTTCTCTCTTTTAGTTTTAATAAAACTGTGGGGTTATGTCCTCGTACCAATTCTAAATAATGAACAAATGACATCAGATGCATTATGACGATGCTGATACGTCTAAATCTCTGCCTCTGTGGACTGGAATAAAAGGCAGCTGCGTAAGAGCCACACAACATGTGAAAAAATGTTCAAATAAACTGAAGTTTCCACAAGGACCTTGAAATTAGGACAAACCCTCCCTGATGACTTGGCAAGCAGCTTGCTCATAGAAGGAGGAGAGCGCTAAAACTGGAGTTCTGTTCAATCCTACCGCAGCGTATAGCTCAAATAAAGCCGGAGGATATAGGGACAGAGTGCCGGCTCAAATTCAAACTGACCTGCTGACAATCCAGCAGCGTACTTGATTTGGGTCAGTGGAGAGCAAAAAGGTTAATAAAGAACAGGATGAGGGCAATTCTGCGATGCTTCAGTACACTTGTTTGTGTATGCATAAAAATCTAAATGCCAAGCTTTTATCTAAGCAGGCTTAAAGATAAGCTGGTGTCATGAAATGATGACAAAGTTTGAGGTGCTTACCAATGGCCTGTGCTAGAGCAATGACCACATCCTGACAGGAAGTCTCCTCGGACAGACCGCAGACAACCCGCACAACTCCATCCACCCACACTTTGAGCTCCATCTGGGACTGATAGGGTAGGGTGAAGGGTAAGAAAGTCTTCAGAGCAGATCAGTTCAGCTTGGCTTTCCTCAGCTTACCACTGCATGGCACTAACTCTGTGAAAAAAAAAAATTAAACAGCAGAGAAGAAAGTAAGAGGTGTGCTACTGTAACAAAGTTTCCTCAAAGTAACAAGAATACCCAACAAACAAAAACGTGAGCTCAATGTGCTTATGTAATCCAACACCAACACATGGGACACAACTTGTTGATAACCTAAACACGACGCATTGAAAGCGTTGATGTACAGTACATAATGCTCTCGCTTACTGGACGTTTTGTAGAAATACCAGTTTATACAACAAACAGCACTGACATCCAAAATCTGCTGTGCTGAGTCATGGATCATGGAATTAGAAAAGACTGGCAGCTGACGGGTACAGCATTGTGGCGTTTTATTAAGTTCCCAGTGGTTAGTTAAAAGCCCGGCAGTATCGCGTGGACCTGGGAGCATAAATGCCAATCTGTAACCCAATTAAACGCTCTGCTGCCCTCCTTCAAAGCCGTTATGATAGCTTAGTGCCGAGGGGAACAGACAGGGAAAGTGGAGCAACTCAAGTGTGTCTATGTTTTGAAGAGGGTGTTTGGGAGAGTACGAAACATAACAGGAGAGATGGAACAAATGTGTGTACGTGTGTTCAGTTTGACGGGCCTCAGCAGGACCACAAGTAGGTTTCATCAGACTTCCACAGTTGATCAGCAGGTAGTCTAAAACACGTCCAGGCAGCAGGGTTAACCTAAAGAAATTTCATTATGTGCAGTCCTGCCATCAGTCTGTACTTTTACAGCTACACTTCAAAACAAGGTAATAAAACACTGTCGTACACATAAAAAGGCCTCAGGCAGAGTTATCTGTAAGGACTTGGCACAGCAAGTGCAGCCTAGGTGGGTAAAAGGCAACTCTTTACCGAACAGTGTGACAGATGGTGTTCTCTTTCTGTCTGTCTCTCTGGTTTTCAATGGGAGGTGTTTAGAACTGAGCCCCAGCATTCACCATGGCCTTCATTCAATGCTCCACTGACTATTGGGAGCTGCTCTGGAGGAATGCACTGACTTCATCTTCCAGCCGGAAGAATTCCTGTTTTTCTTAACAAAGACCTCGCCCCACCCTTCCTCTGACCTGCCTGGTCCACACCACCATTACTTCTGTGCTGTTTAGATGCCAAACAAGAACTCTGCTCCCCAGCAAATACAAATACAGGCCATTTACCATTTGTTTGGCATCTAAACAGCATCACAGACCCGATGGATGTGGCAACAGCATCCCAAAACACATAGCTTAGAGATTGATCACATACAATGAGATCATAGGAAATAAAGCAGGAGATAGTGATGGATGATCAAAGAAGGAAAAAATAATTTGAAAGAAAACGGGAAGAAGAATTCAACCGGAAAGAAAACCGGAAATAAAAAGGGAGTGCATATCAAACTCCAACGCCAGAAATGTCAACGTAAGCAAAGATGTCAACGCTCTTCTTTGAATGGGCACACGGTGTGCTATGTTGTAATGCACAATCAAGCCTAACAGGTTGACAGAATGTGTAGACAATCATTTATTTTAGCTCTGAGGCTTTTTATGAACACATACATATGAACATTAATTTTCAAGCATGGGAATGAAAACTAAAGGCTGGAAACCAAACTTTAATTTATAGGAAGGCACCATCATGGATCGGACATAACCCTGAGAGAAGCAGAAACGGAGCTAAAGGAGAGGTTGACATTAAGGCTTATTCTGCAACTTCTTCGCAGCACCTCATCTAAAACTTCCTACATTAGACATCCAAGATTTTTATGCATCATAACAATCAGATAAAATGAGAATACAAACACAGAAACATCTCCCAGCACAGAATGTCACTCTCCCATGATATTTAGCTCTTGTACCTCCTGGCTAGTGAAATGTGATAAACTAACAGGAAACAAACAGGCCTGTTAGTCTCAGGTTGCTGTCTATTCTTTTTGTCAAAGGCAGAGCAACACTGACAACCAGACATCCGCCTGACCCAGCTCGTTTTCTCAGAACAGCTCTGGAGTCCTGTGTCAGTTCTCGTGGAAAAACAGGAGGAGGAGAACCAAAGGTACCATTAAAAACATGGACTAGAAACACCAAAGATAAAGAGTGGGAATACACTGACAATATAACACATAAATATGCAAATGCTATGGACAAACACCAGCTGCAGTTTGCTGTGCATATGTTATGAGCCTCTAAACATGCTAGAGCCTGATTTTAGCCTATTACAGATATCAGCTTCCTTACATATTGCCTGACACACATCTTATGTGTGTCTTGTAGAACAGAGTCCAGTTGGCAATAGTTATTCAGGCAGTAAATCCACTGTTTCCAATAATCTCAGGACTGTCTGGCAGCACATGCAGCAGAGTAGCATTCACAGCTGAGCAGATGGTGGTGTGGAGGCAATCGCTCAGAGTCATCCTTCATTTATTTTACTTTGTGACCTTTATTACTTCACTATTATACCTAATAAGGCAGAAAGGACAACAAAAGCTTGTAAATCAGCAGGAATAAAAGACAACGAAAACATAAATAATTAAGCTTAAATGTACTCAACATTCTCCAACGCTTCACTTGGCAAACTATCAAGGTTAATGAATCCGCGTGAGTGACTCATTCTAAATGCAGGAAGTGAATCTCCTGTTGTGTAGTTGCTGCAGCAACAGAAAAGCAAATGTTTTTAGTGGCTGTTACGAATCAGTTTTGGCCCCAAAAGGGAATTAAATTCCAACCGTACACCTTAAACTCACATTGACCCACCCTAACCAATTCTAATGGAAAAAAAAATAATACACCACATACCCAACTTTACTTTACCCATGACAAATTGCAATTTTCACTGAAACTCCAACCAGTCACAAATCCCCTGAAGAGAAATAAACAGTAATCAATAATCTCTGACTCCAAGCTCAGATAAGAACACACTCACAAAAGAGCCACTTGAGGAGCTCATCTGGTGAATTTCACAAGGAAAACACATAAGTCATTTTTATATAATGAAAGATAAAGAAAGACAGTGACGGTGCATAAATGAGAAAGCCAACGAATATATAAGAAAAAATGCTGACAGTTTAAAAAAAAAAAAGAGTGGTAGAGAAAATGTGCCACCCTTATTATCGCTCATCCATCTAGCAAACCTGCTTTGTGTCTTTCATCAACCTGTCTAGGCCTCTGTTTGTGTCTCTTCAATACAGGTCTCCCATCTGCTTTGTAAATTTGACTAAAAGAAAAAGTGGCTTTTATCACAGCCCTGCAAATACACAAGGCTTGATCTGTCTCAAGCTGTGAACTGATGGGACCCTTAAGCCTAGATTATACTTGGTTGCATATACGGACAGCGGGAGACCAGAAGACCGAGTTAGCCACTCCTGTTATACTTCTTTGAAGTCCACTTGAAATTCGCTGCCTGGACGCATGCGTAGTTGGTGCATTGTAATGTAAATTGTCCACAAACGAGTCCACGCTGTCACTGGACCACCTTGGTCGTGGTCCGATGACGACATTTACATCATAAGGACCCAAAAAAAAACCTAAAGTTCAAACATTTGAGGCTGCTCAGACAGGAATCAAGTGTTTTGAAAGACACCCAATCTCCAAATCCCCTTTTTTTCCTACATACATATAAACACACAGAACATGTAAAGACATAAAAGCTGACACTCAAGCACAATGCACTTGGTTTGATGCAGCTGGGAAGACACACCTTAACCTTCAATTTCCTTTCTAAAGGTCTGAACAAGTCATTTCTGTTAGTCATACACAATATTAGGAAACCTGCGGAAACAAAAGCTTTGCAGAAAAATTCCAAGCGGGGTTAATAATGTACTAGAGCTCCTAAATGCTCGAGGCTACGTGTGGGTGTGTAATATGAATGTGAGTGTGTGTGCAGGGGCAGTACACAACCCTGTGTCATGCACATGCAGTGGTCAAAGGTTGGGAATGCATGCCTGTTTGGGAGTTTACAAAAAAGGTGGTTAAGTTTGTAGGCTTATCTTTATAAGAATCTGCTCCAGCTCTGAGTAAGGGCAGCAACACGAGTCTGAGGAACAATGGCAGGAGTAAAGGGCAGAGTTTACATCGCATTTGTCAATGGATCGTAGCAACAAATGCATGCAAACATTTATCCCTATCAGTATACGCAGGGGAAATAAGACCCTGTCCCACGCTGCTTTACATGTATATAATAGGATAAATATTGTTGTTAAAGGACAATTAAGAGTACTGGGAGAAGCTAGGCCCTCAGTGCCACTCTGTTCCAGGTTGGCAAAGACAAACACTCAAAGAGACAGCAACACGCTGGCACAGAACAGCCTGGTCTCATCTAAACTGCAGAGAGACTATTGTTGCTCTGGTTCTACACTCAGCAGACAATGCTGTCTCTTTTGTGGCCTCTGGCATCGCCGAGTCGTCTGACACACCAGCTTTTACTGCCATTCTGGAGTGTTACCACAGATAAGCACTGTTACCACCAATAAAATGGAATACAGATATTTTATTTCATTCTGCCTGGCTTCCTTGTTTCGCATTCTTTGTCACACCTCCTCCTATTTCATTTTTCAGTATCTACTACGTCAGCACAGGTTATGTTGCACAGACAGATGAGAACAAAAAGTTCCATGACACAATCACAGTTGAGAACAGCACTAAAAATTGTTCACAGTGGCAGAAAATTGTTCTTTAGCCTCAGCAAATAGAACTGGTTTTACATGTTGAAATCTCAATTGTCTTGCACTCTGGCTGCAAAAGAGTTGCAACGGATACAAACTAAAAAATGTTCTTAATTTACACATTAAACTGTTCATGCATTCACTGATAAGGCCAATGTGATAGGTCATATCTGAACAGGAGAACTATGACGGAAAAAGCAACTGAATTTAAAGAGAAAAAAAATCATCACATACATTTAAATCTCTCGTCTTCCACCTGCACATTTTTAACTAAAAGTTGCCTCTGGGATTGAACTGTACTGTACTGTATAAAACATCTGTGCAATCCCGGATCAACTCAGCCTTCAGGCACAATTAGAAGGTATTCAGGG